GGAGCTCCCGGGAATCCAGGAGGCCCCGGAGGACCGGGTGGTCCGGGTATTCCCTTTGGTCCATCCGGCCCCGGTGGTCCACTAGGACCAACTGGACCATCAGGCCCGGGGGGTCCGGGCTGAGGTGGAGGAGGGGGTGGAGGTGGTGCAGGTGTGTAGTACTGGAAGAAGTTACAACAATCGGGTAAGCATTCAGGAAAACAGTACGAAGGGCAATCGGAGCCACAAGGAGAGGCGTTTCTTCTGATATCTGGAATAAAAGCAATGACTTGTAATCAGGCAAGGAAGATTTAGGTTCCAAGAATAACGTATGGAGAATAATAGGAACAGCAATTAAAGTTTTTGCTGGTTGGATTAGCATATATCTGAGTTGGGCTTCAGCCGCGGTTTCCATACGATCAACCACATAATTCCTAATGTTTTAAAAACTGGCATGATGGAGGTGATCTGGGCTATTACATGGAAACCAGGAGCTATAAGGAGCCCAACTGCAAATGCATTCAAGCCTTACAAGGCGGAATTTCAGCAAAAATAATCATTACTATTCTATAGTAACAAAGTTCCCTCTTGGTGTTCACTGAAACAAATTCGGTCTTGTATGTCAAAAATCGATTAGTAATGTGTTAGGTTGACCTGCATATTAAGCTGTCTTGAAACGTTTCCCTAAGATGTGATATAACCGTTTTAATTGTAAATATAAAACGTGAAACGATTTGTTGTTGTCTGATTATAATTAAATTAAATCATTTAATTCCCACGGGTGACCAAGATATAATTTCTCTTTACAATATCATGCAGACAAGTGATGAGAACAAAGAAGAAAAAAATTCATTAAAGGGATTATCAGTCGATCCAATACCAAGTTCTCCGAACTAACATTATAAGAATTGTATGGAAGTCAGTAAGGAGAATTATTAATGAGATCTTGAGCCTGAAAATGTTAAGAAGTCGGTGTGATAGTCTAACCCTTTTTCAGCGCCAGACGACCAGTAACAGATGCACATATCATCAAACATATTCCAAAACTAAGAAGGAAGGACCAGTATTTCCCATCCATGCGTTGCTGGTTGCTCTAGGAAGCGAGGATACGAATGGCATTGAGTTAGTTTTTGTTTATTTCTTTAAAAATCTTGTATTTCCTGTGTTTGGCTTTAAGTACCTTTCCCCATTTACCAAAGAAGGGAAATATTATTATGATTAAGAAGGAGTCATAACATTCTAGATATGACTACCTACGTGATAGGTTATGAAAATAATTCTAAGGAGTAAAAGCATGATATAGTCGGTCATCTAACTCTTTACTCAACCAAAGCCTTTGTAGGGAAGCTATAGTTCCACCTCACAGATGTAGTTAAGGTGTTAAGTAAAACTAAAGGGAGAGGAATTTCTTCTTCTGATTTGTGGCATTCGTTTCAGGAAGGAAGTATTTATAGATATGGCCTATAGCTAGATTATGCAAAGACTAAAAGAAAAGGACAAAAACTCCACAGAAATGGTAAAAGATATTTACCATATGGAAAAAATGAATGAACAGAATAAGCGTGCTGATGTTTATTCATAACACCAATGCATGCGTAGAAATATCCCTTACGAACTACATCTCCTCTTGTACGTAGTCAAAATATATAGTTTTTAAGGTTAGACATTACGCACTTACTTTGTTCCAAATTCACTCCCGTTACCACAGAATCCTTAAAAGCTTTTTCAGAACTTTCTTTTGAGATATCAGATGAAACTATATTTCCAGTCTTATTCAGCTTTGTTTCAAAAGTCAACCTTTTAATATTTAACAAACCAGCAAGGTGTAAGTAGTTCGTCTATTTATCTTATTCGGGTACCATAAAACTGGTGGTGAAATAGAGATACTCTCTCTACCTGTTCCGACCAGTTTCAAATGTCGTGGATTAAGAGAATTAAGTTCCTGATCAAGGAGAAATTTCCATAATTGTCTTTCAGTCACCCGGAGACTGAATCAAGAGGACACCTCGGCTAAAAAAGAAAAGGAAGAAGAAGCTACCGTAACTTGAGGAAGCAGTTACGAGAGTGAGTAAGAAGACTCAAGCGGAAACTCCTAGGGATTAAACAAGTCTGTAATTAGAGCTGGCCGCTTATGGAAAATTGGGAGAGGCTTTTAACCCAGCTGAATGATGTGACCTTCCGAAGTTGGTCATTCTCAAGATCTGTCAACATATCGGTTACCAGAGCTGACTGGCATCAACTGGGGTTACTGCGAACAATTCGGAGTGGCTAATTGAAGTGAAGAAGAGAAAGCTTTCGCCAAGAAGAAAGATTGAGTCCGCAACTGACGCTGAGCGCTAACACATGGTTCATGAGAAATTCTTGATAAGGGATTTTGTTGCGACATCACGGTGATTTCTGATGTGCTGTCTGCTACGTGCTCGTAAAATGATATCGTTGTGAGGACCTTCCAATGTAAAAGGCAAACTATCGGCACAACTTTTAATCAAGTAGAGGTATGATCCTCGCAAGTAAGTTCCAATCATAAAGAAAGACAAGAAGGCTGAAAAAGTGGACGCCACTGTCAACTGAACTACGAAATCAGTTGTTGGTAGCGGGGTAAACTGTAGTAGGTTCTTTGTTCCCATAAAGGAATACAATCACAATTAATTTTCATGGTATACCCTGGAGTTACAAAGAACTTAAATCCTAACGGTGATTGTCTCTTACATTGTCTCGATTTTCTTCAAGGAAGGCATTGATTTATGTGAAGACACAACAACAAAGACAAATAGCTAATAGAACGCGGTGAATCGAAAGCCCCCACGGCAGTGCATATCGAAGAAGCGAAAAGAAACACGTGTAAAGAGGATTTTGAAACGAATTTAATCTTCTTTAATGGCCATTTGCATTAAGTACTCCACAACTTTGTGCGCAACGTAATGACCTTTTAATTGTTTGAGAGAACAGTCGCTAAGAGTAATAAGCTATTAAAGGGAAGGATTAGGTACTTTATGTCGGAGTACTTCATGTATCCAAGATGTGAGGGTTAAAGATTTCAGAAGTTTACTCTGGTTACATCTATAAGAAAGCCGCAGTCCCTTGCTGAATCCTGCGTATCCTACCTCGTGCATTCTGATAACTCCCTAATCTTCTTTAATCGCTTTGTGTATTAAGTAATACACAACTTTGTGCGCAACGTAATTGCATACATTGTTCTGCTAGTATTGTTTGTTTTGTCCAATCAGCATTTTGTTACACTTAAAATTCAACTTTGTACTTTAATTTGTAAAATCAGAACTGAAGATGACAGAAGAACTGTCGAAACATGTTTTTCAAAAGTGTCGTTTATTTTCTTAAATTCGTTACATATCTGCTGCTATCCAAAAGCTTCAACAATGTCAATAAGTTATTGCTAACGCTGAAACGTAAAGCTACTTCAAAGGGGGTAAGTTCTGAAAGAAACTGTGAAGCTGTATTTGTTGTGATATTACAAAATAATTTAGCTTTATCAGCTGAGTGGGTAATGTAAATTTGCTATCGTATAGTAGTTTCTTTAGCTGACGTTTCGAGTGTTATAGCCCTTCGTCGGCACCCTAGTTAACTGTTTCCCTCAGTTTTTATCATTTGCTTTGGTTCTGAATTTGTCGAAAACTTCAAGAGCATGCATCTGAGCTTCACGGAAGTTTACCATTAGCTTTTAATCCGTCCATCGGCCGAGGTGATCGCCTTGGAAATCAATTTTAAAACATCTTCATTGTAATTTCAGTCGATTTTATTACATTTCTGAAGAATTTTCGGATTATGTTTTTAAATCCTCGAGACACTGAATAAAGCAAAAGCAATACATATTTAGGTCATCGGTTTTTAATAATCTTCCCCGTAAACGCGCTTTAACTCAGAAAACAAAAGGAGTAACCAGTCTCTTGTCAACAATGCAAAGATAAAGCGCGTCAAGTGAAATTTATTTCATGATGCTTGCCATTTAACTTTGCTGTTGTGTTATCCACGGCAAACGATTATTTGTTTATTTCACTATTTAGCCTCCCCTGACCTCTATATTTTCCGAAACACGCGAAAAATATCGATTTAGCATTTGAAAAGGTAATCAAATTGAATCTCCCGCATTGATTTCTCTGCGTGGGATTGTGAGATAAATGCGTTTAATTTGCCCTGATCTCTTTCTGGGTATATGTCCCTTCAAGACCTTCAGTCTTTCGGCAGATATTTTGCTAAGTAAATAATTTCAGCGTAACAAATTTCCGTTCATTTTTCTTCTCAGACAATCTTTGTATATCTATCAATTATCAAAGAACCAATGGTTTATTGAACTAGAATATCTTACAATGGAAATATCCTACAGGAATAAATGCGTTCAAAATCAAGAACTAGGTTGGCACTGGTCAATTTAAGCGTAACTAACCATTTTTATTTGTGCAAATCAATAACGTGTCCAAAGTGAATGTAATTTGAGATGAGAAATTGACGGCTATGTTTTGTTAAAAATGATTTTTTCCGAGCCAAAATAGCTGACAGTTCTAAGAAAAAAATGAGATGAAATTTTTGAGTTAAGTTATTTTATCGCGTCCCTTGAGGAGCCCGTTTCCGAATGAAAAATAATCAATGCTGTAATGTAATTCCCTGGAGTGCACAGCCGGTAGAAGTTTAGAACCAACTAGAAATTTAAGATTACAGATTTGCCGACAAACATTGTTTGATTAAGTTAATAATATTCACATCTTATTAAGAACATTTGCCAAAAAGTAAGCCATAATACAAATTGCCTCCGCATCGAAGGGAAGGGGTGTTTTTTCCTGCCGATGTAAAATTCGAGGATATTTTCGACAGGATCGTTGCAGCTACGATTTGGAAGAGAAATTAAGTACCTATGGCCACTTTTCCCGTCAAAAGGTTCATCTTATGTGGAGCTGTCATTGGCGCCCTCTGCAGTGGTAAGTGAAGTGCGGCTTATGAGTTTCCCATTTGTTAGACACTTTTCCGCAAAGTAATTCCTTCCTAGGAAATGAAGAATGCATGTCTACATCAATATTCTAACCTAAATTTACTCATGTTAGAGAGACAACTCGGTTTTTCATCTCATTTTTTCCGTCGTAGACTCATTTTAAATCATCCATCGATGTTTTGACAAATTTTAAAGTCTCTTTCGCAAACATTTCAAGGCTTAAAACTCATTACTAATGTATAATAAGAAAAGTAACGGCTTTTCCTGGTCGCAAACAAATTTTTTTTTTGGCCCGTATAAATTTTCCAAGGAAACAAATTTTAGGGAGAAAGTTTAATCAAGATTATAGCCGGATACATTAAATTTCAGTGATTGACTTAGATCTTAGAGCTATGCAAATTTTGAGATTTGTAGGTCTAATGCAAAAGAAATAATTCTAATGCGAGTGTAAGTGATTATTCTATGTTGTATTTTGTTTGGAAAGATGGAGTGTGTATAGCGTAGATAACAGAGCAGAACTGGAAATGTCTGGCTAATGCAGCTTGAATTGGTAAAAAAAATGAAATGAAAACATTTACCCTGATTTAAATGTTGTTTTCGTATTTTTTTTCGCTGATAAGAAAGCATAACTGATGGATTGTATGATGCATCTAGAAATATTGTTGGCCTTTTATGAATGGCGGTGTATTTCACAGTCCAAAAGTTGTAACTTAACACAATCGTGGGTTGTGATACGACACTGATCGTTGAACTAAAATGAAGACGTCTGAAGTTGAAAAACATCTGCTCAATAGTGTTTTGTTTCCGTGCTCATGAATATGAAAAATCGATGATGGACTTTATAGCTTGTTTTTAAAAAACTGTTTTCAGACTTAATCGGTGACTTGAAACAGACTGCAAGAAGATCTTAGGTATTTTGACTGACCTAGCTTGATTTCCTTTAAAAAAAGGTACTGAACATTGCAAATTCTCACAAGTTGACCTTGACAGCCACCAGGTAGATTCTCGAACGAAGTGTACCCAGACAAATTTGAGATATTTCTCCGAAATAAAAACTAAATAAGACTGATAAATATGGTTTAAACCAAAAGACATCTGAAAAGAAAGATATGAAAACAGCTTTGTCGGTTTATGTAATACCGAGATCAGATTTAAGAAAAGGAAATGAGTAGTGTCTAATTTAAACGTAGGCATGCTACGCATGCACGAATTATTTTTTTTGGAGAGGTGGGTTGAAATGGGGCTCTGAGGAACTAATGTTTGCATTTTTGTAGGAGGAAAAGAGCATTTACTTTCAAAAGATTCCAATGGCAATATCGTTCACTGGAGAGCAAAAAAGCCTTCTATTTTATCTGAAATAAACTCAGACACAAATATTTTATGGTCTATTACCACTGGTGTCTGAATAATAGTTAGCTTCCTGAAGTCTCCTTCACAGCCTTGTTTGGTCTCGTCACGCAACGGGCACTCCCCCCGCTTACTGCCAGTATTTCATCAGAGACAAAATCAAAATTATTCACTTACAGCTGGTTGCCTAAAAAATAACTATTCACATGATGATGCAGTGGGAAGTAAACTGAAAGTCTCTTTTATCTCAAATGGCCTCTCACCAAAGACATTTTGCGGTCTCGAACAATATACTAAACGGAAGAAAAGTATCCTATTTCAAATGCTTTTACATGGGCATAAAAACGTAGGCTCCCTATTCGGTTGTTACCCATCTGGAATTTGCCCCGTGCGTGCAATACGTAATGAAATGCAGTGATGTAATAAAGGCCAAGGTTGCTAAAAGCGAATTTGATTGGTGGAAAACGTTTGGGCACGCGAGCATTTCTCATTTCTAATAACAGTAGCATTCAGTTCCAAGTAAAATTTTTCCAACAAGGTGGGGTTATGTTATAAAGTTTAGGTTGTTTACTGGAAAATGGCATTTCATATGAGAAAGTCCAGACCTTAGTGACAAGTAAATACGTACTTGTATCGGGAAAATTCCATTTAAACACAAAAAGAAATTCATGGACAACTTTCAAAAGCAAAGAAATGGATATTTCACGTCGCAGTCGACGCACAAAGCAAATATAACCTGCTAATTGTTTTCAATTTTCGCCAAAAGAGCAATCACAAGGCTAAAACAATATTTTCGATCAAGTATACTTTATGCAAATGTTTTGCGCAATTTTTACTTGAGCCAGCAAAACCAGCCCTTCCAAAAGAAACAAACTAGTGAAAATTTCGAGTTAGGTACACAAAACACGCTTCCTTGTACATGATAGAAAATTCCCTGACGACCTTTTTAGCTCCAACAGATCACAGCGACGAAGTCCTTAGGATGGACATGAATCATCACATTGGGCTACATTGAGCTCACAATTCTTTGTTTATGTTATTCATGATTTGTGCCAATGTTGGGTTGATTCCAACGCAATATATTGCGGTACCCTAACTTCATGATTGGTATGACGCTCTCATTGGTGCAAGCATCCTCCAATGCTGTGATCTGATTAGTGCGAGATACATAAACTAATGCAGAAATTTGATTGGTGCAAGATACACACCCAAATGCGGCGAAATGATTGGCGCTGAAATGGAGTTTATTTCTTTTTTTATAAAAGATGTTTACTCAAAAATGATGTATTTCGCCACAACCTACAAGTGAAAATGAGGTTTGCAAGAGATATTTTTCTTTATGCGTTGCTGTTATGAAGTTACAGGTTTTAAGTGCTGTGGTGAAATTTGCTGTACTGTGAAAAAACTCTATAAGATTTGTTTTGAAGTAATAAAACAAGTAATGGCCAAAAACGTGGTCTGGCGGAAGCAAAAAAAAATTGTTATGAAAAATTGTTCTACTGTTGAAAGTATAGGATATTATTGCCCTTTAACTTGAAATTTCTCATCATGTTCTTTTTTTTTTTCTGTTAGCTTTACAGCAAGTCGAAATCTTTTGCAATATACACAAGGAGAGACAGGTTATAGCGAATCTCCAGGAGACAGTGTTTTTCAATTGCTCTGTCCTCCGTGGGAGACCAATGAGACAGATTACATGGAGCAAGGAAGACAATGGAAGGAAACTTCAGGGGCTTTCCACTTTACCATCCGAATCAGCACCAGGGCTCTGGTCGAGCGTACAAATAAGCAATATCAGTGCAAAGGATTATGGGAGATATAGATGCGAGGTGTCAAAGGACAATGGAACTGACGTTTGTTCAGTAGTTCTCCATGTTAAAAGTGAGTTTATATCTTCTTTTCCGTTCATGGCTTCAGTTGTCTTTCTCTATTTAATGCATGGAATGTGGCTATAAATTTCATTCAAGCAGTGTTCTGCGAAAGTCATTTCATCCATTGTTTCCAACACTTTATTTTCTATTTTACAACCAGCCCATCCACATTTCTCAAAAGCAAGAGGATTCTTCACCACAACCCCGCAAATTCTTTTAGAAGGTCACAATCCTGTATTCTATTGCTACGCCAGCGGTTGGCCAAAACCATCCTTCACCTGGCTTAAGGATGAAGTGGTAGTAAAGGATGGTGACGGTAATCATTCTTACGGGTTAACGAAAAGAAATGGCTTGCTTCTCAGTGGTCTGGACTTGGAGATTTTTTATGTTAGACAGAAGGAAGATGAAGGACGATACACATGTGTAGCAAAGAATAAATTTGGCGAGAAACGTTATCAAATCAAGCTTTTTGTAAACAGTAAGAAATTCAGGTTCATCTGTCTTGCTTTATCAGTCAAAAAGTGACAATTCAGAATTTAAAGTCTCTGATCGAAACACCTTCCAGTGCAGTTCTATGCATGTGTTCCATGTTTTCTGTAGGTGTCTTCTGACGATAGTTTCTTCATACTTTATTATGGAATTATTTGAAACTTTATCATGTAGCCACCGCAACTCCCATGACTTGCTTTTGTTCCTCCTCCTTTTCTCTTGAGAGTTCTATCTTCACAGACTGCAAACACTAAAACGAGACCCTTTTTACCCAATTGAAAATAGCCCTATTTTATGTGCTTATCAATTCAAGTCAAACTAGCCTTATAATGCAGATCTGATCGTGGTCATAAGGTTGCAGGTATATCATCCAAACTAAAACTTTCTGAGATAATTTAGATTTAATGATGGTAATTGGCCAAGGTAAATATTTTCTAAGCTGACGTGTCGGAAGTTAATCCTTCGTCAATTTTCTCTGCCACGCAGGACTAACGATTGATACGTTAGCTTAGAAATTTTCTAGGGTGGTCAACTTACGTTATCAACTCAGTTAATGAAAGCAAATTATCTTGTAAAAACCCTTCACCGACTCAAACCCACGGTCTCTTTATAAAGTAATCCATTTAAGAATTTTTGAACGGTTTAGATCAGTTGTAATGACTCTCTTTTGCTCTTCTGCTCAGAAAAGTCCCGGTCTCAACCAAAAGTCCATCCTTACGCATCTATCGATCAAGTAACCATTAAGAAAAGCGACAATGCTTTATTGAAGTGTGTGGGGGAGAATACCCCAAATTCAACCACATTTGTCTCCTGGGCGTTCAAAGGAAAGACATTACTCCTGGATGGTAACAATGGGCTGCATCATGAGTCAAACTACGTCTTTTTTGAGGAGCATTCCATTCCAAAAGTTAATTTCTCATTGCTGATAAAGAACGTCACGGAGCAGGATACTGGGGCATATCACTGTAAGGTCTTAACTCTAAAAGGAAGCGACTCTGGTACAATTCACTTGAATCTTGTTGAATTAAGTGAGTACGAGCAACATGTAACGTTAACGTATCAAGAAATGAGCCATTGTTGTGGGTTAAATTCGACTTCACAAGTTCAAACAAAAGCCTTTTGTTGTTTGTTGCGCTGAGGAAATTGTGCCGAGACTCGACGAAGATGAATTTCAAATCGTCGCAAAATTGTCGGCGTGTCAAATTAGCAAAGAGGTGATAGTTTTAAAACTATCTAGTTTTAGTCGTAACGTAAAACAAAATAGAAGAAAGAATTGGCGTTTGGGAAAATACTTCTTAGGAATTAAGAATAACGCCGAGTTAAATCGCTGGACTAAAAAAATCAGTGATATTTGCGGGTTGTCGTTCTACTTTAGTCTTTCATTCGTGACCATTCACATTCACAGTAGTGGATTTTTAAGCCCTTGAAAGAAACGATGGCCTAATCGTTTATCCGGGTCGAGACGTCCCCATTCAAGAAGTGGTCGGTGGTTGGGGAGAGTTCTTGTGCAAGTCAGCATTGTGTAAGACAACTGCGAGAAAGCATTCTGTGCGACAGTATTGTGCAAGATAGCATTTACAAGACAACATACACTCAAAGTGCCTCGCTGCGCACAGGAGTATGAAAGGCTACTTACAAACTGTTGGGGTGGGGGAAGGGGGATGGAGGAAGGGGGGTGACCTATTAAAGGTAATCTCCGAAGCTTTGAATCATCTCCCGTAGTTCCACCTCATAATGTTTCTTTAGAATGTGCTGACCATTCGCCTGTTTTATTCCTTTTCAAGATGAAGTCAAAGATTCTCGGGATGGGCAAAGCAAAACTTCTTTGACAGAGTTCCTGCTGGTAGGCGTCGGAATATTTTTCGGTCTGCTGACGGCTGCTATCGTTTATCGACAATGGAAGAGGAGCAGAAAACATCGGAAACGCAAGTGTTGAGTTTACCTCTTTCCTTGCACCGTTGGTGTACTTTTATCATACTTGAATTTCGTTTGAGACTGTTTATGCGTTGATGTCGTCAGTGCACAAACCAAAACATCCCAAGTTTGACCAAAAAGCCAAAAAATGGGAGAGGATATGAATAATAACATAACTGCACATGGAGCGCATTATCTGATTGGTCGCTCAGCTTTCCAAGACCGTGTTTTATCAGGCTATTAAGTTCTGTTATGATGACAAAAGTAAGAAAAAATAAATCTTGTCGTAAGTAAGCTTTCCTGCAGTTAAAGCGAAAGGAAGATAAAAAGTTTCCACTCTCAAATTTCCGCCAAGAAAAAAAAATTACATCTCACCGAAACGGTTGATAAAATTGCAACTGAAGGTCGAGCCGTGGATTTCGAACTTTGCCGCGCAGTAAAAGAGGAAATAGCCGTTACAGAAACGGTAAAGTTCTCTTTTCCATTGCTTCAAGGAACTGGTAGCAGTTAATGAATTAAAAGATCATTTAATTCTTTTATTTTGTTGGAAGTCTTTCAGTGTTTACAAGGAATCGAAAACAACAAAGCAAGAATAAGCTACACAGCTTCATAAGTTCTTGACATTTCCGTTTACTACACACGATTTAAGCAAGTAATATAAAATTCGTTGACTTACGTATGTTTTGCTGCTTCTCTTAATGTGGAAAACGTCTTACTGAAAGCTCTTATTTACGCAAAGATGATGAAAACAGAGAAAATATTCGAATGTGGATGGCGACGTTTCGACTTCATTCGGCAAGTATTTTTCGGGATTGACGCCGACTGGCTACACGTCACCCTTCAGAAAGTTCTTCTCAGCTCTGATTGGCTAGAACTCCAAAGCTGATGATCCACATAAGTTGTCACCCTAAAATCGTCAACTAGGTCGGTAAAATAGGAATCCCAGAAGCACGGATGCTGACTATCAAGAAGCACAATCAATCAGATACGCCAGTCACAGATGTAGAATATTAGGCAATCACAGCTGAGCAAAAAAAGGTTTCTAAGGTTACCTTAACAATACCTAAAGAAGCCTCGCAGTATGCAGTCAAAACTTCGCGATTCACATTGGAAGTGACTATATTGTGAGACAAACGATCATAATTCCTAAAAAATTACGTGTTTCTTGCCTAAGATTTATAAAGTGGGATGTTAGAAGAACACTTGAATGGTTAATAAATCACCCATCTCACAACTACTGATTTACAAGGTTTTTCTCGTGTTCTTCCAACAACCTGCGTGACTTCATTATCATGTTAAACCCAGAGGACCGTACCAAATACTTATCATCTTGTTATGCGTTCCCTCTTCAGATAACACTAAATCGAAGGACTTTCAGTACGATGTATTTATCAGCTTCAGTACCCTGGACTACAATTGGGTGAGAGACAACCTTACACCTGTTTTGGAGAGCAAGCGAATCAATTACTGTATTCACAGTCGGGACTTCATTGTTGGAAAGGCTATAATCGAGAACATTGCAGACAGTATCTATAATAGCAGAAAGGTACTAGCGGTCATTTCACGAAATTATCTTGACAGCAACTTCTGCCGTGAAGAATTGGAAATTGCGATGCACCGTTCTGCTGAAATGGCTGATTCATCTCTCCTGCTAATTCGACTCGATGGTGTTGATACGAAAAACCTTCCCAAGACACTGAGGAGGAGGACGTTCTTGGATTACTCGAGCAACATGGAAAGAGTTGACTGGGAGGAAAGACTATTAAAGCAAATTCAGTTCGATGCCAGGGGCTTTCATATGAATGGGAAATCAAATTTTTCAACAGATACGGTCCAACTTATCAGCCATCTCTAACGTGATATGTGCATCCTTTTTTTTTCCCTGAGCAAAGTAGTATTTAGACAAAATATACATCAAGATTTTCATGCTGTAACAAATAGTTCTGCTTGTATTCACATCGTACTTACAGTACTGCGTAAAAGTAATGCAAACAATATCGCCAAATATCGCAATTATCGCGATATATCGGCGATATTTAAGCGATATTTTAGTTGCAACGATATATCCGCAATACATTGCAGGGCTATTGTTTTAACAGCCGCGATATATCGCCGATGTATCGTTGAGCTCCTAGCGATATGTCGTTTGAGCTTAGCGATAAATCGCTGCAGCTCAAGAATATATCGTTTTCGTCTCCCTGATCTATCGTTTACACCTCCCTAACCCATCTCGTTTACAGACACATCGTTACAACTTAGCGATCGACATATCGTTACAGCTTAGCGATCGATGTTTGCGCTCCACGGTGAATGTTTAATCGGACTGACACTTCCTGTATCGCAAATATAGTTAGTGATACTATTCGAAAGTCTGTTTTCTGACGGCAGAGTAACGTGTTCACACAATCTACTTTTCCCGTCTTTTTAATATTTCCAACATCAGAGAAATTGAACTCTTAAATGTTACACAATTTACTTTCACATAAACTTCTGGGCAAAATAAACACAAACAAGTCCTGCCGGACAGCAATTTACAAAGTCCTTGCAACAAACAGTATTTTGTAAAGGACAACAACCGAACCTTTTAGGGTTTCTCCATGTACAAAATGTTTGACCAATAGAGCATCTCTTTTTGCAATCGTGGCAAATTCTCCCCGTACCGTTCAGTGGTGCAATGCCCTGCAATAACGATGCACGTGGTGATCAACTCATTAAAAATAAGGTCTCCTTATTATGTACTTGACAAAACATCCAGTTTCTGATTTGTTGATGAGGAATGTCTATATTTAAATAGCTCGTTAAGTACCATACGAAATTTGAAAATTCTTCCCTTTCTTCCTTGAGGCTTTCGCACATGAATAATGAAAAACAATAAACCAGATTTGCCTGTTACAATTATTCTATGATATGACCAATCTAAAGAAAACACAAGTATATTTCGACCCGTTAAAGAGTTTTCCGAAGAATGTGGACTGTGCCAATATAATGGAGAGTACTGAATACGGGATTTGGCACTCTATTTTGCCTGAAGCGGTGGAGGAGTTTGGGTTTCAGGTGGAACATGGCTTTCAGGTGGAACAGAGGGGGGATCGGTCGTCGCCAACAGAGTATAAATAGGGGACTATAGAAAATTGACTGCCCCCACCTCCAATTGACTGCCGATGAAGGTGGGAGAGATACAGAGTGTTATGGAGAGATTAGGTATCTTTTATCGCGACATGGCCAAAATCTTCCAATCTCCTCCTCCCCCTCCTTCCCCCCCCCCCCCCCCCCCCCCCGTGATGAATAATTACCAACCCCTAATAAACCACCAAGTCTGATATGGGAGGGGTGGGGGCCTGAGACCACTCGGAACCCTTCCCTGGATCAGCCATTGTGAATCGGTAAAACCTAACAGCAGTCGAAAATTAATAGTTCGAAAATGTAAACATACTAAGGTCGATGTTTGTAGCATCTCGAGGTTGACCAGTGTCCTCTTTTTTAATTCGCCAGTATATTAGAAATCTACCACAGACAGGAATAGTAATGCTAGAGGTGAAATAGCGGGCCACTTCATCTGCACAATCATGAAAACATTTTCAAGTTTTACAATATCCAATTTAATCTTAAGAAAGAAAGAAAAAAAATATATATATATGCATAACTTGACATATATGCATAACATAACATAACATAACATGACTCTCGTAGACGTGGAAACCTCGATACTCCCTCGAGTTTGAACAACCAATTGAGAGAAATAAGGAGAAACACGCAACTACAGCGAGTGTTCCGTCTCCGGCCTCTCCCTGCGTGAGCACGTTCGGGGTCTCTCTATTTACTTACTTATCACTCTCTATTTTTTTTAGTACTCATTACTCTTCTTGTTAACAACTTATCGCCCTATTTATCTTTTCTTACTTTTTATTTCCCATTTATCAAATTATTTATTGATTAAAAAGATCGCTGAGGAAACAATTAGAAAGTGAAGTACTTTCCAAAAATGAAAATGTTCTTCTCTACGTGCTCTAGCCACTTATTGCATGCTTTACAATACCAAGAACACGGTTATATCATATCCAGGTTACGGTGCAATCTCTAATATATCCACTAATCTCTCCATTTTGAAAGCTTTAACACTTATCTGCTACAATACGAGCTGGTGAGAACACTTGAGACTTGCTCATGACAATAGGGTGACTTGGCGCATAAATCATTGATTCATTTGGAAACTTAAATATTTTCTTTGCTAAGCTTTTCAAATATTCCCGTCTAACTTATGTCTATTATTTTGGGATTTCCACCTTTACGTGCTATAGCCGTTTCTTGCCTGAGCACGTTCGAGGGCTCTATATTTTAATTTTTTATCAGTCTAATTTAAAATTTACCGGGCCGGGTTGTTCAAAGCTGGGTTAACATAACCCAGGGTTACTGTGAAATTTGATCTCAGAAGGCTTTCAAAGAAAATTAAGTTCAATTATTTTTATCTACTGTTTGATTACTGGATGCTCTAAAAAGAACAGAAAAGATTATCTGAAAAAGGCTTTTGAATAGAGAAATAAAGAAACCTGGATTAAATTTAACCCTGGGTTAGCGCTTATCGGCCTTTGAACAAATGGACCCTTGTCTTTACTGACGATTAATTCCTCGTTCATCTACTCAATTATTTATTGATAGAAAAGATTTTCAGTGACAAATAAATCGCTGAGAAGAATTCGGAAAGTGAAACACATTCCCAATTGCTTCTTTTGAGATATATATCATGTAACAAGAACACTCAACTGCAAGCCGGTTAGAACATGTTTGACCGCTCATAGCAAGGTGGTGGCTTGGTGCATATGTCATTGATTCATTTGGAGACCTAAATATTTTCTTTGCTAAGTTCTTCTTTAGAGATTGTCTTGATCAAGTTGTTATACTAAAGAAGTCTTTCTCAGAAATTTATCATATCCAAGTTATCGTACAATATCTAATATATTTATCGTGTATTATCTAATATATCCACTAATCTCTGCGGTTTGAAAGTTTTAAGCGGCGTGATTATCTACCGCAGTAAGTTTGATCACAAATTGTAAAATTAAGCGCTGTTTTTTTAAGAGACTTCCGGATTATTTTGGAATTTTTTTTGGTCTCATGTTCTTCCCCACGTGCTACAGCCGCTCCCGGCTTCAGTAACAAAACAAATTGCTGAGAAAGAAAAACGGAAAATGAAGCACTTTCCAAATTTTCTAGAAGTTGTGACCTGACGTACGGCTGAAATCTATTTCAGAATGATATGAAAGACTGGTTTGTGCCAGAACCCTAAACTCAACAGCCGACAAAGAACACTTGATCAGCACACAGACACGCTCGCACTCATAAGAGAATAAAAATGTGACCAGGGAGATGATTGATGGAACAAAAAGGAATTTCATTTTCATTCGTCGTTGAAAAACTGTGTTGTGTTTCTATTGTCTTTCTGTGTAGCTCGCCCTTCCCTGCCTGGCTTCTTCCCTCCTCCTTTTGCTGATTGACGCAGTATACCTAAAAATAAAATAAATTTATAAATATACCTTCCATACCGAAACCAAAAGGTACATATTCAAGCGTGTTACACTTAACCTTCTCGACTTAACTCCTAACAAATTGTGTCTGCTCTTTGCTCTCTAGCACGTGTCAGCGCCGACAGGCTAAACGGTTTCAAATGGCATGCTTTAATGTAATTGGATTACAGAAACAAACACCGACCCACTAAAAATATCGAGTCTTTTTTCTTGTAAAGTGTTTTGGCTTCAGTTCTGATCTTTGAAGAGTTTATTCTCAGCTGATATTTGGCCAATTTTGGTGAAATTTGGAGATATTGTCGGAAATATAATTAAAATCTTTGCTCAAAAGCGCCACTTTGAAACAGGTATAACCTGCTAATAATTTTAGGCTTACCAAGGTTCAAAATGCAACATTCTACTGGATCAAATTCCTAAAGTGCAAGAAATAAAAACAGGCTCAGAATTACGCCAGCATTACGCTTGATGCTCTAATTATAGCATTATGCCGAAAATTACGATGGCATAATGTATCTGACCCTTGTCATATCCAATTGAGATCAATACTAAAATCAAGTTGCAATCACTCATGTGCACGTGCAACGGAAATGATATAATTCGCTATGCTCTGCCAAACAAAGTGTCAACTGCCTGCATGCAATGCAACGTATATTCCAAATAGAAGTTTTTTTCTACGAAAATGTTTTATTCTCTTCTTTCCTTGCAATGACCCATTCACAAATGGAAATGGATATTTGATGCACAGGTAGCAGACAATATCTAAGTTATTTTTAAAGACATCGCGTGCAGAGACGGCTATGACAGGGCGCGCGTGGCAATCGATGAAAAGGGAGGTGTTTCCTTATCTTGAAAGATTTTCAGCGATGCAAGGTTAAAGGTGCTTTAACTATCACGTGTAAAGCCTGCCTGCCCAATGTACCTTTTTTTTTCTCTTTGTCTTCTTATCCTGTGATAAGCCGGTGATTTTCCTATCCTTGCATTCTCCAAAGCGTTTCAACCATAAAATGGCAGCTTCTTGTGATCTTTGGACAACAGGCGTCGTCCAGACAATTGAAGTCTGTCTTGCATTAACCGGTGGTAACTGGAAACCATGGAGATCCATGCACAGTTCCTAACAACAGCAATTTCTTTTACTTTTAGAGGAAAGTTATAGCCTTCGTTTCACCAACGGAAGGGAAGCTGCGTAGCGCACAAGTGTCATCCTGTGATTCTTGTGTAAAAAAACAGGAAGCTGCCAGTCAACGCTGAAGAGGAGAGGTAAGAATTCGAAAACGTCTTTCTTAGTTTATCCGATTAATACTTCAAAGCATCTTAACTACATTAGCTTAACAGATTAACAAGCTTAGATTCTGAGTAAACACAATCGTAATGAGCATTTAACATTAATTATTTCATTAAATAAAAAGCAAAAAGGTTAAAGTTAACGGCTCAAATCACTATCAAACTTGCTTCTTCCTTAGAGGGTACAAGGGCGACAGTCGGTCCAAAGGACATCTCTTCCAGATATACATCTCTAATTTATCAGTTATTTGTTTTCGTGGGAGTTGGAAAACTCCCAATCATTCGATTTAAGCTCGAAGAAAGGTAAACAAAAGTACTCACATTGCTGAGTTTCCTCCTTTGTTGCAATGAAGCAGCTCTCGAGGGTAGAAAAACCCAGAGTTATACGAAAGGTAGGTCTTTCAGCTATCGTTGGAGAGAAAGCTGGAAAAACTTATTCTGCATGCTGATTAATTGACTGCGAAGTGATGGCAAACATGTAACAAATCACCGGATTAGCCAGAAATAGCACAACCACAAGCTAATGTTTTGGAACGATCAATCTGAAAATGTGCGCCTGTTTGGGAAACTAAGGAACATGCCATCAGACGAAAGAGCTGAAATGATGTCTTAATGTTCAAGTAGAGTTAGGTCACAATCGCAGGAACAATCAGAATCAGCCGGTGAAACTCGTTTAAAGGCATGGATAGGGCAACTTCACCAGTATTTATTTGTTTCAGTATCAATCTAACTGATACTCACTGTCCCTTTGAAAATTTCTCAAGGTATAAGAGTAGCACTTGTATGTGTCACGGAATCTCAACCTCTACTATACTGCTGAGCTATATTCATAGAAATATAAACCACACCCATGCAGATTTTAAGAATCGTTTAACAGTAGCTATAATTTTAGCGTTCGTTGGGGCAGCCAGCTTTCGGTTTCATTCCCTCCCATGTCGTGCTAGACTATAAAAAAAAGTGAAAGAAATATAATTGTGCTGGTGATAAAATTTTGGACGAAGTAGGTATCTCCCATTCAGAGAGGGTCTCTTAGTGGGGAACCAATTTAGGGATCTAAGATATGAACAAGATTAATGCTCTCCACCTGAGAGGATAATGAGCGAGATATATTATGACGCCGGGCCATGTAAGGATTCAGTCTCAATTCGGATAAGTATCGTCCTTGTTTATACCGCACCTCCATTAATCAGACATGTCGAGCAAATGAGACCAAAACGTTAAGACAAGGAACAACATGATTCCAGCAAACCAGTCATGCTGATTGCCGTATTCCTTAATTTTTGTGCAGAAGGAACATAATGGCATAGAGGCCAAAATATAATAGATCACCAAAAAGGGACTTGATGAAGATAACGAAATAGTCGAGAAAATTGAGAGTGACAGCTAACAATCGAACTGAAATTGTGAGGCATAAGAGAAAATTTTCCACATGGGAATTCTCCTTGAGCTGAACCGCGGACAGCCAACTCTGGGTTGGAATGCACACCTAAATGGATATTGACAGAAATATGTTCAACTATTATTTACAGTTGACGACAGCATCAAGCATGCACTTGAAATCACCAATTGCCCTTGAAATTATTCGCACATATCTACAAATTTCTCTAGTGGTTAAAATGAGCATACTCTTGTACTGAAGGGCTGTATAACACACTAAAACCAAACACAAGCACACAAAGGGCACACTATTTTACTGCAGGCACAAGAAAATGCGCTGCCATTTCCAATCTTAAGCGGAACCAGAAATGGAGCAAGGACCTTTTTAAATTGCAAAATCTAATAGCCTCATACATTTTAAACAATAACTGAACAAGGAATAAGTTTGGCTGTTATCAATTGGAAACAACTATGTCCAAAGGACACAGTGGATTTAAACAACGGTATCTTGATGGAAACAAAGTAGTCGTGCAACTGAATGTAGATCCTTTCCATCGAAAAAAGAGTTGGCCTTCTTTTATAAAGCGATCAATCAAAGAGCAAATTAGTATGGCGTTATGTTGCGTCGTGGACCAAATTTGTAACGAAATGTGATTTGCAAAACCTGACTTGTGATAAGCTTTTGGACCCTCTTAAAGCTAGCGGTTCGTTACAGTTCACATGCACTGTTTTTACATTTCGCCGATTCAAACCCCTTTTCAAATTGGCATCATCGCTTGGAGAGAAGCCTATTTACCATTGTATCAGTCCAAGAATTATCAATAGAGATATTAACAGAGAAGTTGTAGCGAGTAAAATGATACAAAAGATAACTTCATGATCATTCTTCGATCAAAGTACAAACTCAGCGTGCGCTTATAAAGCGTGATATGCTCATGGACAAAATGTGACGATAGCTCTCGACCAATCAGCGCCCGAGAAATTCTACGGATATTGCAAAAATTCGGCTCAGAGGGATAAAAATAAACTTACGTTTCTACTGTTTACGAAGGTTGGTTATCTTTGATAAACATACTTCGAAAGTCATCTTTCATTCCAAAAACAGAACCTAAGATTTCAAAGTTCCATTTAATTATAAATCCGTAATCGACTGGTACCTCAATTAACACCATTTTGGATGTTCTACTCGTTTGCTTTGAGATCTGAAAACCTTCTTTTAGTATAAAAGGAAACCCTCTAGGAAGGATTGAAAGGTCTGTATGTTGCGTGGACAAGTCGTTGACAGCTAAGAACTAAAAATATAATGACGAAAATGATACAGTGCGTAAAATAAAACAGTTTCAAGAAATGTGAAAGTCGGTTTCTCTTGTGTCAGAGACTCGATGAATTTGCCATTCTAGACTTTTTAAAGAGATGCTCCCTGGAGATATGTGAATCAGGGTTTTCGTTAATTCTAACTAAGGAAGCGTTATTAATTTATATATCTGTCTCTGCATATCCCTCGCTTTGCTAAGAGTTCCTGTTTAACCTACTGAGGAAGCAAAGCTGACTTTGTTCCATAGCTATGCAGAATGATCACTATTTTGCCACTCTCTTAATGGCGCGCATAAATAAGTTTTACCGAGCTGTAAGTCAAAAGAGCTGTATCTTAGTATGTGTCACTTTTGTAAGATCATCAGTAATAATCCAAGACAAAGCTATCCTTCCTCGGTTATTTTCAATCAGCTGTGTTGGATTTTTGTTTGTTTTTACTTTTTCATTTTCCATTTATCTGAGCGAGTCATTGTTGTCCCCGAGCCCTTAAACTCGTGATCTTTTCCTCTTACAGGTTTATTTCGTGCTCTTCTTCATAGCTGTAAATGGAAACCCGAGGACGAAGAAATGCCTTATTCAATCTTATTACCGGGCAAAGAATGGCAGTGGACTTAAAGGGACCGGAAATCTTCTAAGAGTTGGTTTCCCATTTGGCTCTAACTCAAACCGGCCTAGTCAAGTGTCTTTTACTGGCTCCTGTAGTGATTCTCCAGCCGAAATCGGTCAGTGCACTGAGAAAAATCATCAAACACGTTGATGAGAGAAGATTCTTAAATTTTGAATTCGTTGAATGATGCATACATATTACCCTGTTTTAGTAAACTTCAGATTCACGAAGAAACTTTTTAAATACATGTTTCGACATGACTCATGCCATCATCAATTTCATATCATGCGTTGAACCCTTGACTTTGTTGCTACACGTTACAAGTTGAATCGAATATAATATTTGAAACTAGTACCGTCACACGTTACATGTGGTAAACAATAGCGCGCAAACATAACACTTGGAAAGTAAATCTGTGCGAACAAACATTCTGTTCTTACTGTAAATCAGTAGCCAATAATTTTGACGTAAACTTACGCATAAAAGAAGTCCATGTATCCAGACAATTGGAACACGGCCACGAAGCCGAACTTTTAAACACCAGAGAAAACAAGGTTCAGAATATCTTCTGAAAGAGATTTTATCTAAAAAAAAAACCTGAAAGAAGCTTGTTTTGAAAATGATCTTCCAAATCTTGATCATTCAAAACCATCTTATCTAAAACCGGATGATGATGGTTGCTTTTGTCATCCAACAAATGACCTTGTAAATACTGAAGTAACTTTATTACTTTGAGCGGTGGAAATTTCCCACTCACATCTCGCTTAGACTTGACATTGTCTCAGTTTTTCATGGTCTCATTGTTCCTTACAGAATTTCAGCTGATACTCGCGAACAGAAATGGGACTCTAGTCATCACCTTACGTTTGAATGCAAACACTGATTATGTGTTAGCAGTAAGAAATCAGGCGTTGGTAATTGAGGTAAAAAGTTTACTTTGTAGCGCGCATGCAGATGTCATACAGGCCATTTTGGTTATAATAATAACAAATGCTTTACTAAAACTGAAAAAAACCGTTCAGCGAATTCATCATAGAAAACGCTAGTATAAACCGGTGATCAGTGCATAAAAATACTATTAAAAATGCAATTCACCATCGATACAAGTTAAGATTAAATTAAAAATTTACAAAAAATATTTACAGTGACAAAAAACTTTTAAACTAAATTTTTGTTGTGCCTTATCTGATTCTATTAAAAGTTTAAAAGTTTTAATTTTAAAAATTCTTAGCGTTTCACAAGCACGCAGTTCTTTGGGGAGGTCACTCCACTCCTTTGCAGCGGCCTACTCGAATGTTGACCGGCTCATAGCTGTTTTATATCTTGCGTTATCACGGCATATCATCTACAAATATGTGGCCTTGGTACAAACTGCTCCTTGCAATAAATAAGCAGTGATGACCTTGTGAGTCAACTTCCATCTGGAGTTTAGGTTAGAAAAAAAAATTTCTAACTAAAAGCAAAAACGATGGGTAGTCTCAAGACTTCGATGCCAAAAGAGGATGCATATTAAAAAAATTCTCATTGAAAAAATTTAAAACTTTTCCATAACACTCTCAGATTAGACAAGTATGTCAATTCTGCCACCATTTGTAGGGTAATTCTAGGATATGAAGTAAACAAATTAGAAAAAAAATATTCTGATAAAATTCCGAATTCCCAGTAACACCCAACAAATTGATCAGTTGGGAAAACATAGCTCTCACACCTTAAAGAGTGAAACCAGTACGTAGATTCATTTTTCTTTTCTTTTCTGTTCACAGCACCTTAACAAAACTGGCCATGACCACGAATTCGTTTACAGCTGTGTCTCAAAAGAGGATTGTGAGATTTTTACTCTAAAGAGCTTCAAGTCTCCTTCTTATGTCAAGACCGATGAGAATGGAAACCCATTAGTTGGTAGTAATCCTTTGGACGTCACAGCATGGTTCCAGATGCTAGATAATAATATTTGTACCCCAAGACTGAAGGCCACATAGCGGCACAGTATGTTGATGCATATAGCCCTTCCATTGTGTATTTATTAGCAAATACACAGTGCCTGTAATCTTCGCCTCTATCAGCTTAAGGATTAAAGAAGCAAATAAAGTATTTTTTGTAGAAAATTACGTTCATGATTGGAAACGATCTCTTAACACTCTCCTCGGAAATTGTTGGAGATTGTTTGAGAAGATCTGTCCCTGATAACCCCACGTTCGATATTGTTCCATCCACATTTACAAAGGAATAGTGTCAAGCAAGAACACTCTAAAGGAATCTCCCACTTTTGAAACAAATTGTCGATGATCCATCAAAAATGATCTTTTAGTTAAAAACATTTTCGCATAAATGAGAATTACGAGCTGGGTGTTGAAAAAATCGAAACAGATATAAGTTTCTTTAACACTAGAATTTTGTGCTCGTCAGTTAAACAGAAACTTGTTCTTTTGAAGAGAGGGTTAACCATCAGAAAACATCATCAGCGGTGAGATAACAAAACATAACGGATTTTCTTCTAAATCTTAAAATAATAGTTTAATTGGTTCCTTGTCCAGGTATACATGGCGAATATGTTTTGCATACGTGTTACTGAACGTACATGAACGACCTTCGTAAGAGACACAACAGAGGCATTGGCACAAGTGTGATTTCCATACCAATGTTTGCGCTCTCATACTTATATTTTTTAGGTAACCTAAGTAAAATGGTAGTCCCAGTCTCTATCATCAGAGAGTTGACGTATTCACAACAACTAAATACGAGTGTAACATGTATCGAAGAAAAAAGAAAATGCATCTCAAATAACCATTAGTTCTCTAGTACAAACATGTCTTTCACTAGAGATTGAAATTTCGATTACTTAAGTCTTCCTTAAAGTCTCTCTACAACCATCATCCCCGTACTGCTCGGGCTTAAAAACCAAACATATTTGTTTTGATAAATCATTTTATTAGAGAAAAAAAAAAGAACACTCCATTCTCAAACCGCTATAAACTAATAAAAGCAACAGGATCGCTCAAACGCAACTTGTCTACAGGTACTTAGCGACGGCAACATGGTGGCGGACAGGATCGAATGCATGTGTGGGTGCACACAGCTGGGCAAGGGCTTGGCATGGGGGGAGGAGCCGGTTGTCCTGCAGCACCAGGAAGTCCAGGAGGTCCTGTAATGGCAGAGGGAACCACATCAGTTAGCAGTTAAATTACAGAGGTTGTATCTTTCTTAACTTTCATGAAATTATTGCAAACGAGTAAGTGGTTGTACAATGGCCAATTGCAAAGTTAAAATTGCCCATCCCGAGCAAATGATGCCACTTCATCACCACCCTGTCTCAAATAACTTTGTATAACGGGTCGGTACTGTGCTCTTGAAACCTAGTAGCTCCTTCAAACCTTTGAACTTACATTTGTAAAGGAGGAGATACGAGTGGTGGGGAAATGAAATATATTGTGCATGCTTTTCCAATGGGTTTTTAAAAGGCGATTGCTGTTTCAGCCCAAAAATCTACAGCTTACCGGGTGGTCCAGCATCTCCGGGAGGACCTTGGTTTCCGGGAGCCCCTGGGGGTCCCATGGGTCCGTCACGTCCGGGTGGACCTGAGAGTATAAAGGTAATTTGTCAAAATTATAGAATGGGCATACATTGTTTAAATAATTCCTAAAGAGATAATGGACTTTTTCGGGGATCAGACAGCAAGATCAGACAGCAAAATCAGACAGCAAGATCAGACAGCAACCTGGTGCAACCTTATCTTGCAGAAATGTTGAACATTGACCTTAAGTGTTATTTAAACAGCAGAAATACATTTTAATCACATGGTGAGCAGCTATGTACATTTTTTGAAACAAAAGAAATATTTTTTGCATTCTTCTTTGCGTTCGAATTCCACAGGACAGACATGGGCACTAATATGGCTGCTATTCTACTGTTAAGGTAACCACTATGTCCGCCGAACTGCCATGTGAAAACGGTGTTCCACCATAATCTGACTTACTGAAAACGATAGGATCTTAGGAACAGATATTTCTGGCAAATTACTGAACTTACCTGCTGGAGCTCCGGGAAGCCCTGGTAGACCAACTGGGCCAGGAAGACCGACGGGTCCTGGCGGTCCTTTTGGTCCGTCAGGTCCTGGAGGTCCCTGCATTCCCATGGGTCCGTCCATTCCTGGCGGGCCAGGAGGTGGTGGGGGTGGCGGAGGTGGTGGCGGTGGGGGCGGTGGTGGTGGTGGTGGAGGGGCGGGTGAGCAACATGTTACTTGACAAGCAGGAGCACATGAAGAAGGGCATCCTGGTGGACACGGATTAGGACTTCTTTTGTAGTGCCGTAGGCGGTCTGTGATAGATCAAAAGTAAGAGATGCAAGTTTGTAAAGGAGAGACCCCAACCACAAAGAAATAATTCAAGGATTTTTTGACATCATTACATACATTACAACCGGTCTCGCAAAGAGGTCTCAGGACTTCCACCACATAAATTTGAAGTTTTAGAGATCCAACTTAACTCGTATTATATAAATCTGCAGAAAAGCGATGGTAATAACAGCAAACCATTTTTTTGGATATATTGCCAAAATCTTTGAAGTTAAACCCCAATTCTAAGGATGAACATTTTCCAAGTTGGTACCAACAGATCGCTGACGAATATCGGTTGGGCAAATAAAGATAGAGTCCGATGATCATTTTCATTTTCTAAAACTACTATAACATAGAAAACTAACAGGTTTCACTTGAAAATCTAGCTTTTCCGAGATCGTATATTCATTTCTTTTTCTTGTTTTTCACCTTTCTTGAGACCGTGATGACAAAACGCTCTTCTCGGAAAACATTTAGTAGTGGTGGTCAACTTTGAAGGATACGTTTCAAATGATCGAAGGTTTCAAGCGTCTTGTTAAATATTTACGAGCACGAGACAAAGAATCTATGAACTCCAAAGGGGAAGGGGGGTCGATTCCCTCACCAAATCAATCGCAGAGAGCTCGATTGTGAGAAGCTGGGTTATGTCCTAGAAATAAATTAGATAGAGCAAATCTTACCGAGTGTTGACGCTGATGCGATAGAAGTTATAAAGAGGACGGAACCCAGCACCATAAGTAAACCCATCTGTTGTGTGAAAAAGAGAGAGCATTGGCATATTAATCTCAGATTTTAACAACCAACTTATTTTAGGCAATATGCAATATTCAGCACAGTACTTTTCAATTAAATGCTTATTATTATCATGCTTTTAAAACTAAGGAAAAGGATGTGAAGGCTGAGGGTGTCCACCTGTAGGAAGATAGTTTTGAAAGAATTAATTCCTTAGTTATTGAAAACGGTTCATAACACGGAAAAAAATGATTCAGAATTTAATAAAACTTGTAGTGACAGAACCGAAGACATTCAAAGATTTTAAATGAAAGCATGTCATGAAAAAGCTGAGTAAGAAATTATCAAATATGTGCATCGTAAATTAGGATTCATGTACAAACTTTTTCGATCGTTATTGTGAAAAATAGATTACACAAATGAAATATGAAATAAATTTTCCGAGGTTCAATGGAAGTTCATAACATTAAAAAGCGAAAAAGCTATTGTTTTGGTGACGTTATTATCCAGACTTTCTGTGCAATAACAGATTTATTTCGATCAACTGCGTTTCTGATTTTGAAGGTGACCGAGATATATTTATTCAAATTCTTCATCTGTGGAAAGAAACTGAATGGTCTTTTTCTTTTTTTTTGCGTCCTAGTGTGAAATGATCATATTATTTTCAAATTGGACAAGGAGACTAATTTATGCTATACCTGAAATTAATAAAATCAACGGAAAACATTGTCGAATATTTATACAACCAATAGATCTTAATTCAGATTACCCCTAGAATAACTATGGGACATCGTATGGTTATTATGACTAAGTTAATGTGAACTGAACTAGCGGAAATTCCTTATTACTGCAAATACGAAACACGTTGCGTTTAAATCAAAACACGCACTCTCTATTTAGGTAGGAATTTACAAATAAAGTAAATGGAAAGACAAAAATATTTAAAAAAACTAATTAAAATAGAAATAAACAATTCTTCATAAGATTGAAAACGTCAAAAGAACAACTGAAAATTATTTTACAGGCGGAATGCCTTCATCCTTACCTTTGCAGATGCAAAGTCGTCGGCGAATGATGGTTCGCGTCTTTCAACTCCTGGCCCTTAAACGTCCCTACAACGCTGAATAATTGATCACTTTCATTCGGTTCATCTGGTCTCTTAACGCTTCAGAAGCTGTAGTCGGCTGGTAGAGCTTCAAAAGTGATCAACAATTCCACCACATTGTCTGATCGAACGTCGATTGAAGATGACGTTTGAGGCATTATCATTGCAAAAGCTTGTTCGTTGCTTTTGTTTACAACATGAACCTACGAAGCTGTACCCAAGCCACCATATACTGCGGCTTTCTAGGTTATATGACATTTTAACCGATATTACGTCATTCATAAAATGGTCGTGGTGAATCTATTGTCGAAAAAGCAGGTTACACCTCCAAGACATGACGGGCGTTGCTGGTGGTAGCTCGACAAGAACGAAATTTCTTTGACAAGAGGGGCAAAGATGTACGAAATAAATTGGACGCAGTTAACAAATGAAAAATATTTCGCAAAAGTAGCATGGGGTACCAGCATAAGGAGGGTAAAAACCAAAAACGAAAAAAATATCTGAATAACTCATATTAAAACATGATTTAAATTTTTGTCCTATGAATGTGACCCACACAGCGAGCAATATTTCAATTGGACCGTGAAGTCCTTTTCTTCTAAGGGGCTGGTACCTGTCTGAAGCCAACTTCTTGGGAAAAGCATTGCGGTCTACTCTTGTTTTGGCTCGGAAAAATTCGATTCTTGATTTCAGTGATAAAATACGAATTGGTTCAAACGTAAATTATGAGTTATGAGTCAAGTTGGTAAGTTGAAAATGAAGTTGAGTTTTCCACGATCTGTTTCAATAGATTTACAGACAAGAATGGTTGACATTCCAAGAGTAAAATCAACCATTGCTAGAAAAGGATAGAGCCTAGGTTCATTTGTGATTCTTCCAAATAAACAAGATCAGTCGAGCTTGAAACTTGAAAGTAAGCAGAAGAAGCATTATGAAAATAAAAATTGATAAATTTTGCGTTGATTTTAGCGCTCTCAAATAGGTTTCAGGAAAGACCTGTCGTATAAAAATGTGTGACCAGATACTTTCACTAGGTGGCCACGTTTCCCCTATTTAATTGGTGAAAATTGGCAGGCTTTGTTTGTTAAATGAAGACAATAAATTTCACACATTCCTTAACGCCTCAGAGCTCCTTTGACGAAAATAGGCGAAACATGGATGACATAAGACTTTTTCCTTTTCTATAAAGCTCTAACTTCCCACAGAGGAAATGACATGATAGTGCCGTTCACTACACACCACATACTTGGAGGTACGCCATAAAACTATGATATGTAAGTGTGTTATTTTTTGTTTTGTTTTGAAAATTACTATGAGGCAAATTTCTAAATAATATAGTTTATCGGAATTCACGGCTGCTGAAGAAAGTAATTTTAAATGAAAAACCAACTAGGTTTGAGCAGGTGGAAAAGAAGTTCATTGTTTCTCATTTTACCGCCGCGAAGAGTTTCTGTTAAGTTCCCAGAGCAATCTCCATCAGGCAAAATTTACAGTGGAAAGGAGACTCTCCAATTTTGACCAAACTGACAAATAACGTAAAAAATTCACATTGAAATCAGGTAAGACCAATTTCGTGAGTTCAAATTGGGTTTCTTTAAATTTAACATAAAGAACGATTTCACAGCTCGCTAAATTTCCAATAATATTTGGGCTGGTCTTCCATGCAAGATCAAAATTATTTTTCTTTAAAATAGCATGAGTCATACCATACAATGTAAAAATTTTAATTTGATTTCTTTTTGACAATACAAATAAAATAGAAAATTTCAATGAATATATATTATGAAACTTTTCTAATGTCTAATGAGGCATGATCGGTTATGCATCAACTAAAAAACAGTTTCTGATACACAAAAAAGTACTGTGGTCATATTGTCGATTTAGATTTGCTAACTGGACATTTTGTAAGGTTCACATTGATGAGGAAGCAACGTCCGGCAGTCAACTGAGTAGAATAGTGAAATATCTACTTTAAAAATATATATATTAATAAAGAGAGGATCGCCGTTAACAATGACATAACTAACAACATTTTCCAGCATAGTGTATAGATAGTATGTCTATTCACTGCTTCGTCTTTTTGAAAATCACCTCTTTCATTTGCTCTAACATAGCAAAGGCATTCATTATAATTTTTCCGTCTTTGCTTGTCAAAAAAATGTGTTTACGTTTTTGTTATTTTCGTTGTACCATGTCATGAATGGTCCTCTTGCAGTGCAGTGGCAATTAAGGATTTTTTGACATGTCTTGTCATTAATGGGTACTTTATCGAAAGAATAACTTTATTTTTAAATCAAGACATTTGTTAGGTATTGCTTCGCTTTGCTCTCTGTTGGCATTAACAAATTCGCCTCCTTCTCACAACCCTTCAGATTCAAATTTGACACCAATAGCGACTGGGTCACTCGTGATTTCCCCACTAAAAGGATTTTTCTCTTACATTGAGTCCCTGTTGGGTCGTCTGATAATAGCGACTGGTTCACTCGAAATTCCCCGGCTATAATTTAATTTGTTTTCTTACATTGAGTTCCTGTTGGGTCGTCTGATAACAGCGACTGGTTCACTCGCAATTTCCCGGCTATAATTTAATTTGTTTGCTTACACTGAGTCCCTATTAGGTCGTCTGATAATAGAGCATGGTTCACTCGTAATATCCCCGCTATAATTTAATTTGTTTGCTTACCTTGAGACCCTGTTGGGTCCTCTGATAATAGCGACTGTTTAACACGTAATTTCCCCGCTATAATTTAATTTGTTTGCTTACATTGAGTCCTTGTTGTGGTCGTCTGATAATAGCGACTGTTCAACTCGTAATTTCCCCGCTATAATTAATCTGTTTGCTTACATTGAGTCCTTATTGTGGTCGTCTGATATGTATCTTGTTCTGTCTACTATTATTATTCGGTTTTTGTTCCACGAAACTCAACTAAAACGCGCCCTAGGAGAGAGGGAATACTCTCAGTCTTATGATTGAGTTCATCATTTCCAGCCACGTTTTATTTCCTTCTAAAACTACCATAAAAACTGAAGGAATCTTCATGAATCCGACTGCACGTAAACATGCAGGAAATACTAACTTTAATACCACTACTCACCTGTACAGTTTAAGGTAGCACTTTCGCGAGACCGGATGCTGCTTATGAGGTGCGAGGCTGCCATTCAAATTATCCCGAAGAATACTCCCTTCACTTGAGCCGTTAACTAGAGGAAAAAGCAAACTATTTTCATTGACTTGGCGAATACTGTGGCGAAGTTTTTAACCAACGCACGTGTAACTTTTCAAAGTATCAAAACCGCGACCAAAGAAAGCAAAGTTATCGAAAGATCAGTAATAAATTGATGAGCTTTTCAAACCAAGGGAAAGCTGTCATCGGCACTCGACAACAAACATGTCAACTACTTGTCGAAAAAACTTCCCTCGAAATTGATAGGACATCGGGTCCCGATCTCTTTCCCTGATAGCAGGCTTTCAGATTTTTGGTTTTTTATTAGAATTATTCGTAGACATCCTAAACTTTAAATAAATCAGAACTATGTAATAGTATATCTAAAAAACAAATTTTCTTTATCAATCATAAGCCCTAAAATTAGCAATGTACACGTTTTAATTGTTTTCAAAGTGATGAGTAAACAACTTCTGCCCTCATTAAATTCCCCCCTGATCTTCAGAAGCTGTCATCTGATCCCCGTGAATACCTGCTTTGAATGAGTTCCGGTGCTTTGGGCCTAAATCTTAGTGGCGCCTGGTTTTTGATGCAAACCAAAGAATTAACCAAAATAACTTGGCATTTCGGGTCCAGTTATATTCAGGTTATCGAGGTGTTTGAGTCTCAACTGCTTTTAGTTATGCAAGAAGAGTTCATAGCCATGGACAGGATGTTCATATCTGTGAGGAATGCACTCTGTTTCCGGGGTATCGAGATAAAGGGGAGCTTTGATAATTCTACACCAATAAAGGCAACAGGGAGTTGCCAGAAAAACTTTGAATTTGTCAACAAAAAAGAACATTTCCCACCACTTTACATCTAGCACGTATTAAGAGTAGTCATTGAAATAAATCGAAAGAGAGTAACAATCTGGGGTTTAAGGTTGAAAAGAACTAGAACTTAAGTTGTGGTGCCAGAGGGCAAAGTCCTTTGGAAATCGGTTCGATATTAAGAGACAAAAGGGTACCATTTTTAACAGACAACTACCTTAACAAGATAATTAGAGAGACAACTGTTCACAATGCCAACCAAAGCAAACAAAAATATCACTCAAAATGTAAAGACAAGACCATTTGGCACGGATTTTCTTTCCTAACTTTATAACTACCTTTACGATCCGGATACACTGAACGAAACGTAAAATAACATGCCATGTTGTGAGTCAGCTAAAGATGTGTGAACAGAAGACTGCTTCAAAACGTTATAGATATAACATGTTTAAGCCTTTCCCTTAAGGCAAACTGCTTGGAAGAGGTGTCCACGGAAACGAAATGAATCAGTGGTGCGGATAGCCTTTCGAACCATCCATCATCGTTTATCATTTGTTTGCTGGCTCTTCGAGGTCTGTAGAGCTTCACTACACCACAGATCTAAATTGAGGAACCTTTCATGAAATAATAAGCAGATAGAGGCCTTCAAAAGTTTTAACAAACAGCAAGTGTCAAGTAAAATTACCAAACAGAGTCTGCAGCCGAACCTGCATGCACCAAGATGTGATGGTGACAAGTATTGTCAGAGGACATACTTAAACGACAACAATGATTTCACATCTCCAAAGAAAAAGAATCCTGATACTATTATTGTGTTTTGTCTAATATTGATAAATCGATTTTATGAAAGATAGATAAATTAAGTACATCTTCAAATTATCCTCTCACCAAGCATCGGGAGCCATAACAGAGACAGAAATTATGAGAACCATTTGGCCATAGGGAAGGACAAGATGTGTTTGGTTCAATAGAAAATCAACTCCAAATCCAGTTCTTCGTTTTTTCATTCCAATCCTTTTTGGGGAGCAATTTAGTTGCCCCGGGAGGAGCAATGAGTGCAAAATGTTTGTGTTTATATGACTGTGACATTGGATTCAGCCATATCATATCCTGAGATCTGCTGCAAAAATTTACCATACGCCTGCGAGAAAATAGTTCAAAATTCCAATGAGCTTGGAGAAAACGAAAACGTGTTAGGTAATGATTCATCTATGACGAGCAATATCACACAAAAGTATCATAACCTGGAGGCAAAAATTTCCACTCTCTTAAGGAAATTCACATGATTGCATATTTTACACGAAGGTTTTTATCTTGGAGTTTCGATAAACTATGGAGCTTCAAAGTTTGCCTGATTTTTCATTTGAGAATTATATAGTGCACATCGTTTCTCGATAACATAGCAAGACTATAGGTGGTTCTCTAATTCTGGTCAAAGAGAATTTCTTCCTCTAGGCACGATGCACATAGGACATCGTTTATTTGCACTTACACCGTACAAAACAAATAATCGACTCCAAACACATATATTTTCTGTAAAATTAGATTTTGACTTCTTCCATCTAAGGACCTAATTTTCTCCAGAGAGCTGCTTTCAATGAGAAAATAATTTGTTACTTTGGCCTTCTTAGGACGTCCGTTCTAAGGCAAATCAAATGAGTAGCTGCAGAGATGGCAATTTTATTTCATGCCTGTGTACTAGGTCTCCTGAAAAATCAGTCAACATGTACTACAATTCCCAGATTTTCCTAGATAATCGGAGGAACGTTTTGAAATTAAAGTAGCAAAAAATGCTAGTGATGGTAAACAATCCTGCATGTCTTAGAAGTATCCTCTGACCAAACACTTTTACTACTTATCTTAACCAAAAATGGGCCAAGGTTATTTTTAAGTAAAATTTTACGAAATTTTCATTTGAAATCAGATACACCATTGCTTTAGATAAAAATACTTTTCTTGCATCTCATAATTATGACCCTCGAGTAAAAGTAATGTTCCAAATCGATAAATCGATCCCTACGTGTGCACAGAGCAGGACGTTGCATGAAATAAAATGAAGTGAAATAAGTAATAATAGAGGCAGGATGTAATTACGTTAAAAATATAACCACCAGCATGACAGCAATGGTGTTCTTACCGTATGTTCATTTCTGTTGAGTCACAAAGACATTAATTTCGCTTTAAGGTGGTTAAAACAGAGACGCATCTAAAAGCTACTTATTTTGGAAAAATGGTCCAGTTCAAGGAAAGTTTTTCGAGAATTTTAATCAGTTAAGTTCAACACCACCCCAAGGGGTATAGTTTGCTCTTTAAAGAAAATCATGTGGTCTAGACTGGTCCGTGCTCCACCACATTGCGAAAGAAAATCAGACCTTACAGATGGTCTCCTTTGTTTATCACCTAATATAGATGACAACTTCCCTCAACTGGCACTAGGAAGTCAAGTTAATCTGGTTAGCATTTAGTTCATCGGCATAAACACACGCCGGTTGCTCTCGCACATCAAGACCATAGAGAATTTGTAACATGTTAAAGAGTTTTACAAGGAGAGTGTTTCACACATTCATTATGCAATCGATTGGAAATTTTCGAAGAGAAACTGATAATACTTTGATGAGACCTCACTGGGAGGTTTCAGGTCGAGGGAAAAAAGGTTTGTGGGATTATGGGCATGCTGTTGAGGGAATAAGCTTGGTTAATTGCATCAACAAAGCCGATACAAACCTCAAGCCGACAACTAATCAGTTGCATCCCTTGTTTAAAAAAAAAAAAAAAAAAAAAAGTCCAAAGTTCCACAAAAAGCTGATGCAATTAATTTGTAATAGGGGGTCTTGCTTCTTATATCAGTTAATCTCTGAACTTTGTACGACCCAAGAATGATTAACTACTGTGAGTGCTACTTGAGGGCACCCGATTAGTAAACAACCGGTTCAAATAAGATTACTGGCGCCTCACCTTCAAGGTTACGGAAATAACTTCTCGAAATTCTTAATATGTTAGGCAACAGTTTTGTGAACCACGCAGGCAGTATGAAAGTTACAAAAAGTGAAACGAAAGGTCTGTAGCAGAAGGTAGACAAAACAGAAGTTCAAGTTTGGGAGAAATACCAAGGATATACAATTTAACATCTTGATTAAGACAACGTTCGTAAAATGTACAAAAACAATCCTCTTAAATACATTGCGGGTAGTTCATGTAATACGTGCGCACATCAAGTTTAAAAAAAAAAACGTTTATATAAGAAACTCACAAAGATCGTTCCATCTCGTCTGCGCCTTAATGTCAACTTCTCAGAATTTCAGCGCGCCCCAAACTCTCACTGATGAAAGTTTGTATGCTGTTCGTGTAAAAACGCAAACTTAGAAAATCTGCTAACCTGGAAAATTAAGCAACGGAAAAAAATTTATACTAAGCTTGTTATCATTCAGTTTTCCTTTCCGTGAAATATGTGAGGTTATTAGTTTAACGAGTGACAAGTCAAAGTTGCAGAGACCGACGCATGATAATTGCCGGTAAGATGATAATAACCGCACGTAAAGCAAGTTCTTGATTTCTTACAAATAATATGAGAAATATATCGTATTTGACCCAAGAATGTCGAGTGGCGATTTGATACTCACGGTTGAAGCCCAACTAAAACATTATGACTTGAGTGTACACAAAATTACTCTAAGTGCTCGCCCGGAGCAGAGCCAACATTAGTTGTTTATGGACTTTGTGCAACAGACGTTGACGTAGTGGAAACGAAATGTAGAAATCATACGGTTGGCTCAGGCTGGTTTCTAACCTCATCTTAAATTCCTTTCATCATCTGATGTTATCTGTCAGCTGCGATTAGAAATAAACAAAATTAAAATTAAAAAACAAGTCGAACAAAACTTCACTGTATGCCAATTTAAAACATCGCCTTAAAACTGCTAACACTTGCATAATGACGTTCAGTTAAATGTTGAAAATCATGGAGAGAATTATGGAGAAAATTCCATATACAATGACAACAAACGATACCTAACGCAACCACAAGGCTTTTGAACAGCTGATATTAGTTGCACTCCATTGTGCATAAACCATAGATAAAAATGTTGTGACTATCTAAAGCTCTTCTATAGACTGATTTCTCGGAGCTTGGATGCCACGGCCGAACAATCCATCTATAAGACACACTTTCCTTGTTTTTATGAAGAAAGTATCGCGACTTTCACACTAAAAAAAAAAGTGAGGAAAATATGATTCAAATAGAAGACTTGGTTACGCAAAAAAAAAGTAATTAGAAGATTGCTCTTCTTAATTTCAGTTTATCTTGAATGGGCCAGAAAAATAGAATAAGATCTTTGCGCTGGAAGAATGTTCTTCACATCTCTATAGACGATTCTAAAATAACTTGACATTTGTGGGCCAACAGGATGAAAGACAATATTATTTCAATTTGTGTGGTTAAGCAAAGATATAGTTTTAATTGTTGTCGGTAAAAAGGATTAAGATAATACTATTCAATTTTTTTGGGGGGGCCACATAAAATATTTAATTGCTCGAAGGAAAGCTAATAAGGGAAAATCCAAAGAAAGAAACCAAGAATATACTAAGAGAGATAATTTTATTACACATTTCAAATAAATCCTTCACTCGACACGCCTACTTTATCAGACTTGCAGTCTCAGTAACATCAAGTTCCATCGAAGAAACATGAACCGTTGAAAATTACGTCACTCCTTTCCACCCAAAAGCTACATCTTTTTTTTATGTCAAAAGGAAAACAACAAAAACTAAGCGAGCTGAGATTTTACTATAAATATATAACACAAAACAAACATGAAAGTAATCATCTAATCTCTACAGGGGAAAGACAGCAATTAAGGACTATCACTAATTATTATTCGCTCAGCGGTGTGATAAAAACTCGAATCACTCGTCGAACCAGAAGTATAAAAATAGCTGCTGTCATTGCCGCTTTTGTTGTTTCTATTCCAGGAGGTGAGATCTCTTCTTTCGGCCGTGGCAACATTGTGGGGCACAAGCCTTGATACAAGTATGGACGCAGACAGGTGGACAAGGAGGCATCCCACCAGGTGGAGCTGGAGGTCCGGGCAGGCCTGGGGCTCCTGGAGGTCCCATGGGGCCCAGATCACCGGGTGGTCCCTGTAGAAGAGAAAACACATAAAGTGAGCGATCGACACAAGCTCGTTACTATCATCAAGTGTTTCTGGAAGAGGACCATACGCGACAAAATGCGTCATTGGAAGGGAAAACTGCAATGTTTGCCACTATGTTAAATCTATGGCTGAACAGAAAAACAACAGTTGAATGAAAGACAGTTGTTTTAAAAAGCTATTTCTAGGGCTTCAGAGGGGTCTTTTAGGTTCCATAATGTAAAACGTTTTTGACCACGGTCACAACGTATCGTGCAACACCACACATAGACACATATCAAGTTATATCACACGGCGGCAAACGTACTTGATGTCCAGAAGGCCCTGGAGGTCCCATGGGGCCGTCACGTCCTGGAGGACCAGCTGGGGCACCTGGAAGACCTGGGAGACCAGGTGGTCCTGGTAGTCCTGGAGGTCCTGGGGGTCCTTTAGGGCCATCGGGGCCAGGTGGTCCTGCCATTCCCATTGGACCATCAGGGCCAGGGGGACCGGGTGGTGGTGGTGGTGGGGGAGGTGGTGGTGGTGGAAGAGGTGGAAGTGGGGGTGGGGGTGGAGGTGCACAACATACCGCAGTGCATGACGGGGCGCATGATCCCGGACAACCAGGAGGACATGGGTTAGGACTTCTTTTGAATATACCTACGAGTGAAAAGAGCAGATGATAAGCTGTTACGAATTCTCATCAAGATCTCAGTGGTCCAGTAAGATTAATGATAAGTTCTATAGTTGTCTCGGAGGGCACGAAGCTTCTACCTTTGTGAACTTTCAAAAATTAGAAATCCGTAGATACATGAAAGGGTACCTCGCAGGAAATTATAATTTCTAAGATAACAGACTATATCACAATCGATGACTTAATTTAGTTAAACTGGTGTTCGAATGAAAAGTGATAAGAATTAAAATTTGCCAGGGCCGTAGGGCCATAAAGTTTCCCTGCACTCTAATGGGATTTAAGATCCAAGGAATTTTGATACTTGTCAGAATAACAGGTGCCAAGAAATATTTAAAAAATCAACTGGAACAGGATGTTGTAGTGAGAACCCCTGCGATGAGATACGGCAGTGATACTGGTTACGGAAGATAAATTCACAACCATCTTAAAAATTATACCGCAAAATTCTGAGCTGGTCAAAGAAACACGACTCATTTTTTCCTTCCTATGTCAATTTTTGTCTCAAAGGAAAGATATAGTTTCATGAAAAAAAAGGAGGTCTTAGCTTCGATGTGGAATATGGAGCTACCTGCGTAACGGATGGGAGAGCACTTCTCAACACAGCATGAATTGTTAATAACTCGAAACAGGTTTATTTTGATAGAACTGCGAAATAGAAAAATTGTTTGATTTCTAGCTTAATGAACTCTAAGATAAAAAAAAATTATTGGACTAGATTTTTATTCCGAGCAATATATTTCTAAAGAGCATTTTGACAAGGAAATAAATATGTACAAGACTTTTTTGAAAATAAAACTAGCATCAAGACGAACCGAAAAAAATACGATAAAAATTGTGAAGAGAGGTTCTGTTCGTTCTTTTTAATTGGCAGCTTAGTTAAAACCAAAATTTAAACACCGGAACAACAGGATGGATTGGACTTTAAGATTTTCGGATCAGCTTTTTGCAATAAATATTTCATTACGTACGGAGATCAAAATAAACTGAAGACACCTCGAATTTGGAAAATCATTATGAAATGTAAAAGCTTAAAAAAAAGCTTCAAATTTTGACGGTCAAATTTCAACACATATCAAATAAAAATGTACTTTCCCAACATATCATCAATTGTTATTCCTACCATCAAAAAATTCAAGTCATGAATTTTAATTGTTGTTTCAAGAAATGCTAACTGAAATTTGAGGCCAGCTGAATGAACATATTCGTAATAATTATTCTAGTTGCGTTCTTTCTTGACACTGTGAGTTGTGGAGAGTGACAAGTACTGTTCTTTTAGAATTTTGCAATCTGATAAAATTACTTCTTGACCAAGAGCAGCTTACAAGTACGTATCTTTACTTTTTACTCTCAAATTAATTTCTTTACAACGGAGATTGACTTCAAATTCGAAAGAAATAAACTAATCTTCAAACTATGTCCTTTCGTGGCCTTCAATCATGATCAAAGTCATCACGAAAGTTGCCACTCAATTTTCTAAAAAAAAAAGGTTTTTCCATCCTATCAAAACAATTGTTTGATCAAGGGTTGCTTCCTATGAACGTCAAATGTTCCCTGGTAAACGAAACTTTTCTTTAAAACTGCTATTAGGAGATAAGTATGCCCTAATAGCTCAATCATTTATTCCCATAGGTTAAGAGTTCCAACTTACTTCCTCGACGTGTTGCCTTGGCAGACACTGAGACGATGACAAATAAAAGGGAACAAAAGACCAGCCTATAATCCATGGCTAAGCCTGAAAGAGAACAAATGCCAGCATTATACTTTGGATATTTTGCCTGAATAGTCAACACCAAAAGTTATCTCTAATGGGTCAATACCACAAAAGGTAGGCTATCAAACACTTAAAACTCCTCTCACCTTGACAGTCGAAACGTTTCCGCTATATGCGGCCGCTATTGTTCGTCAAGGAGTTTTATGAGAGGCACCGGTAAATAATTCATGGTAACTCTATTGTCCAATGCGGGGATCGTGGCAGCCATTGTGTTCACGCTTCGCTTCATAGGAATCTTGCCTCGGTTCTTGCTTCTTATAAAAATATACCGGTAATATAACAGCGTTATTGACCAGTGTCAAAACCAGTGTTACCAAAACTTTAAAGCAAATATCCAACTGGTGCCTGATTGTTTTAAAACAAGAGGGTCAGTCAAACTAACTTAAACTTCGAACGCAGCTAGGGTTGACCCGAGTACACACGAGTGAATATGTTCTTTTAAAGACCTAACAACCATGATATACGAGCATTTTTGTCTGTTCATTACACTTTTTGTTCGTTTTGATGCTTCTTCAAAAGTTTATTTTGGTTTTAAAGTTGCTGGTGCTGTGTGAATGGCTTTCAAAATGTTGAAATGCATAAACGATGAGTGATATCGCTGGTGTTTCAGAGCTTAGTGAGCCATGATGCGGATTTCAAATGGATACCCATCTGATTTGAGCTTTACATTACCAGAAAATAAAAATTATTTTCATTACAACGTTACTTTTAAAATAAGCCAAGAGCCTTAAATGGAGTGCCTGAGAGTATTAATTATGTTATAAGCTACGAATTACCAAAAAGCAGTGAGATTAATTAAATTACTAATGTCAATCTCCTTTTGTATCTCTTGGGCAATAATGCTACTTAATAAGCTGTTTATATCTTAAGTGATCTCGTTGACAAAATGACAGCTGATGAAGGTACGAGATCAACAAACACGATAATAAACAAGTGTAAAATCCCTTGCAAAAAAAAGTTTCCTTAATCGCTCCCTGCCCGGAGATCTGTCATGATGTTTGACTAAACACCAGTAGCAGGTGACCCAAGTAAACAATTTCACACATTCTAATGACTTCTCGCGTTCCTTTTACTCGATTTTTACTCTTGTCAAGGCTGAATCAGCGAAACATGAGTAAACAGCAGGCATTCAGCAGAAAAAGGTAAAAAGTATGAACTGTTTAATTCGCAGCTATACCAAAAGAATAAGAATGTGTCCTTGCTACAGCTGATCCGACTTTCAGGTTCAAGTGTTTCTTCATGAAGCGTTCAAAATCCAAAGCTATGATGTAGTGTAGTTATTAGACCGTCTCTAAACTGAAGATTTTTAAGGCTATGCGTCATTCAACAATCACCAGCGCCGATCAAAGACAATGGGTCAATCAGAGTGGAACGAAAATGTGTTAATGTTGCGAAAACTCGCACACTGTGGTAATAATCACATTGGAGCTGTTTAAGTGGAAACGCTTACTACTAGTCCTTTCGTCCTAAGTCTCATTTGTGCTACTGATGAAAGGTGTAGGAGTTGGTCAACATCTGCACATAATGGACGACGTAACATTTCCACACAGAAATGTAAAATGCTTTGCTCAGTTCACAGTAAAACAGACGAGTAAGATAACTACCAACTTAGGCCATCACTGGATGTTAGATCTTCCTTTCAACGGTAAAGACCAGTCGAAAATTCAGTATTACGCATTCCCTTTATCTTAAAGAATTCAACTCCCTGTGTTGATTTACATGCAACTAATCCTAGAAGCATCTACGCATTACTTAAAAAGCTGGCGATGAAAATAGACCAAACCGTCAGCAATAGGACATCATCTTTACCACCAAGTTCTCAAAACTAATTCACAGAGAAGAGAACAGGCGCTTTAGGAGAGAAAGGTAAGCTAACGTCTGAAGGAAATCCACTTTGACACTCTACATGAAGCAAAACTTAAAATTCAAAACTTTCATCGACTACGCTAAAAGTTAAAATAGCCTCATCAGTAGTGTAGTAGAGGTCAACATCTATAGCAAACAAAGAATTCAATGCTCTCCAAGTATACACGTACGTCAACAAAGAGCGAATCAGGCTAGAACGGTATGCAATATCCAGAGAACATTTTCCAAACTTTCATAATTCTGATTTTGAGACTTAAGGAATGCAGTGCTTTTTCTATATTGATGGAGGAGATCTGTGTGGTGAGCCAGCAACGTACATACAATCCCCAACGGTGGTTGGAAAAGGAGATTACAAGACTTAGTTGCGCAATAGTTAATTATTTCTTTGCGCAGAAAAAAAAAACAGAAAAAACGGCAAACAAGCTCCCTCCCTCATGTTAGCACCCGCATTTTGGCTGAAACTTTTAATAAGGGAACAAAGTGTTTAGAGTAATTCGGCGGGGTTATTAGTAAAAAAAATCGCGTCGCTCTCTCAATTAATCACCTGCACAAATAAAACCATTCGCGACATTGTGGCTCTCTTTTCCCGTTTTTCCCAATCAATCTGAGACGAAAAAGCTCGTAGGTGTAAGTTAACTTTATTAATAAAAAGACGCTAACACAAGAAATTAAAATCAACCTGACTAGGGTGATGTGAGAATTGTTGGATGAAGTTTGGCGCTTCTATGTTTAGGCATTTGTTTACTGAACTGAATTTTGGTAACTAATAATCCTTGGACGTGATCATAAGGAAAAAAAATAAAAACGCAAAATACATTTCAAAATGAAAAGCAGATTTCCAAGAGATGGGTGTGTAGATTTGTTTCCATTCCTGGGTAAAATTGATTCCCGATTTTAGCAATCCATGGCTAATACATTTTGTGCGAGTTCGACTTATCTTGAAAAGTACAGACACTCCTCCTTCCTCTATCCAAAACCTGACTCTGTAAGACTTTCACCAATCTTGTACCCATCAAACATTGCTCTGAATGTACTATACATGCCAAAATCCGAGCGACGAATACGAGGAAAGTGGAATTATAAAAATACCCATGCACACTTGGTGATCAAGACCAGCTTGAACTCAGTAAAATTTTGTGAATTATTTCATTAAAAAACGTCAAAAAAAGTTCGTTTTGTTTGGCAACGTTTAAAAATCATTGGTCTCATGACTAAGGGATGACTTTTCCCAGTCCTTTCCTTCCGTCTTAACTCCACAGGGTGCCACGATTCTTGCACGTCCATTGACAAACAGTGTACAATTGAGAGGAGCCAGCAACGTACATACAATCCCCTACAGTAGTTAACCACAAAAGTTCACAGTCTCCGCACAGACCGGGTACCTCCAAATTGGCAATTGCATGCCAGCTGTAGTGCCAAAAGGACCTTGCGCAGACGATGACTCATTGACACCGTCCGCTTATGGAAAATGAGTCCAGGACGTGGAGGTCTGTTGCTGCTTCTTGGCGTTGAACGGTTACGAGTGTTAATCAATACGGTCATCAGGTTCTCCGTCACTTCCATCACTGTCTGACGTCATCCATCCCGATGGATCATCCTCGTATTTCTTGACTTCTTCTTCTAGAAAATGCTGTCCGCTTGCCACGAATGAAGCAAATCTAAAACATGACGTGCGAGTTGTCAACGTGGATTTCCAAACAGTGGTCAATTAGCCTGACCCACGGAGACAGTGATTTTTGCCATCGATATCCCAGTTTAAATTTTAGCATTATCGCATTTTAAAATCCGTAATCGAACAGTCGACCTTGCCGACGATAACGCAAGTTGATAGTTTCTGTGTTCTTTGTAGGAAGTCACTTTTCGACATTCGACAGTAAGGATTTGATGAAAACTCTTTCGAGAGAAGCTGACCCACTAAGGTAGGATATACTAAAATGGCGAGTGCTTCATGGGCGGTCAACCGTTTCTTGATCCAGCTTTCATTACCTAACAGCAATTTTAGGAGAGTGTCGAAAATACAGCAAACCGTACTAGCATCGCTTTTGCTCCACTACCCTCTGTGACACACTGGCCTATAAACATCGCATTACTCTCTCAACCAGTCAGATGCACAACTGAAACGCGCACTTCCCCATGCTTAAATTTTCATTGGATCCTCGCAATATTCTCGTTGATTCAACTGGCTATTGTGATTATCTAGACTGTACTTTTTTTACGACATTCAATCGCAACACAAACTAATGCAAAGGAACAAACGTAGCTCCATCATCATGTACTTTCCTCCTTTCTTCGAGTTGAAACACCGTGAATTTGGACTTAGCAAAGTAGGCAGCTAAACTTATCAATAACCATACTGGAAAACTCTCGCCATTTTCGCATACGCCCCTACCTTTTACATAAGGAAACCTTTATAGAAACGAATACTTTAGAGCACAATCCCATCCATAACTTTGAAAATCAAACCATTATACCTCAACTATTTACAAGAACGAGACAATCATAGACGTTCATGATTTTTAAAATACGCTAACATGTTTAGTTGCTGTTGAAGCTGAAATGCAGTATCTATGGTTCAAGACTTTCTTACGATGAACAGACGGACAGCTCAACAGACAGACATAAAGACAAAGAAAAACAGTCAACTCGACAAACAGACAAAAAGAATTATACAATATCACATATTTTATCCTCGTGTTGTCCTTAGCACACTTAGTAAGTAACTGTACACGTCATACCTTGCTGGATGCTTCAGTCGACTCACCACTCGCCAAGTATCACACTCAGGACTCTTGCAATATTCTCGAAGATCTTCTAAAGCTCTGCTTGTTTCCTCCGCCCCTTCTAAGGCATACTCCTCCAGTGATAGAAACTTGTGTTTGGGTGGAAAGAAGAAGTAATAAACTCCGTAGGAAATCCTACAGAAAAAAACTTAAAATTCAAATCAAAGGTCAAGCATAAATATAGGCTCATGGGCATGGTGTCATCACATTTTGTCAAATAAAAAAGGGACTCGCAGGATTCGCCTCATGTTGCCCACGGACGCTGCCAGCGATAAAGTGAAACAACATATCTTCCCACGGCATCCAGACTGAGGCGAGTCTAGACACCCTATTTAGGCTGGTCATGATGGACAATTCTATTTACGTTCGTCTTTGATTTCTTTTATCCGCTTTCCATACATTTCACCTTGTACATGCAAGTCTATTTCCTTTAATTTTTTTAATGAAATTACCTCAATTGGATCAATCTTAGAGGCCTCTCGCCTCTGCACTTCTTTTTTTTTCTATCCAAAATCTTTTCAACCAAGTGAGAACTAACAGCGAGCGCTTAGCTATTTAGCAACAACACCATCAGGTAATTCTTCCCCAACAGAGGAAATATGTCCTCTGTCTTTGCTAGTGACTATAACATCTTGGTCTTTGCTAATCAGCAGTCCGTCGATTAACCCTTTTATAGCTAAAAAGCGCAAAACCGAAGTAAATTTAATCACGTGTCTGTTAAACACAAGTTTCTCACTTCTACCCCATTGCAGACCTACCAAGTTTTTGGAAATATCTTCATGAGAATACCGCTACTGCGAATAACATGTGAAAACAACACCACTGTTATCAGTCCAAAAGAAACCACGTCCGACCGAGTACCCATATATAGTAGTGTCAGTCCGATGAATTGCAACATCCAGCGTATAAGGTCCAATCCCCGGTCACTTGTCACGGGACCGCGATAATAACAAACACAGAAGCTGATTGTGCCTGAAAAATGATAACCACGACAAAAAGGTTAGCTCAAACCAAGAAATAAGAAAACATTGAAATTCAGATCGACAACCTTAAGATGAGCAAACTTAATCAAAAGGAGCCTGGTGACGAGGTGGTCTAGTTGTTTGCGCGGATGACCTCGTAAGAAAAGGACCAGGTTCAAGTTCTCTCCAGGTCATTGTGTTGTGTTTTGCACAATTTTCTCCACTGGCACAGTGCTTGCACACAGGAGTATATATGAAAAACCAGCAAATTCTCATGGGTAACTGAAAAAAAAAGCTAAAGGGAAGGTTACAGGGGGAGGGGGGGGAGGGGAGGTTACCATCAATGAGCGGCATTCAGTTCAGGAAGAGTAGCAATGCCCATAACGAAAAAGCACAGATTACCTTCAGCAGTCGAACGAATCAGCCTTGTAGGCAGAATTGAAAACTTTCTTATCTTTTTAACAACTTCTACCCAAGTCAAATAAATTCTCTAAAAGGCGTACAAACGATTTCCGCGACTTTCAAGACCAAGTCATTCTCCCACAGGAGTTTAGCAGTCTACATAAATCGGAACTTATCCAGGCATGCGTTTCATATGATCCCCTGAATCATCAACGACCCGAATAAGCAGGTCAACCATAATCATCTGGTTAGCACTCAGGTTTTTCCTTAGCCTGGTGATCACCCAGATCACTACGATCGGCGCGATTGGAACGATCCGGACTATCATATGTAAACCACGGGCTTGAGAACCCATCTTTGACCCCCAAAAACCCACCTACTATCACAAGATATCCAATGACCCACTGATATTGGTTGACCATGAGCTCCTTCAAGTGACCACATGTGAATTGGATAAGGTAGGCAGCAAAACTCCAACCTCCTAACAAGATAGCATAGGCACTTCCTCTCTGGACATACATGTATGAGATGGGGAAAAAAAATAAAAAAAAGGTTCATGAAAGAATACTCAATTTGTGACTATCTAAAGAGACATCTATAAATATAAATAAAT